GGATCCATATGACGTTCTATGTGATGTTCCACGCGAAGATCCATATGATGTTACACGAGACTTTCCTCTACCAAAAAAACTTCTAGTCTTATATTTTGCGTTAGTACCATCTACAAAAAATAAATATATTAATAAAAATATTCTGTAGAAAAATAATCTGACTATACTTACTGATTATAAAGAATACACAAATAAATATAAGAAAACACGTTTTCAATTTCATTATCATAGTACGTAATGTTGTGGCACTAATAACAAACTAATATCATCAGCACACTTAAAACTCATATTTATCGAACTTTTCCTAGTGAGTACAATATATCTTACAATATTATCTACAAACTTTTCCTCAAAATCATACTACATAATAAAGGGTCATTGCTAATGACCTCGAAGAGATATGGATATCTCCAGCAATGAGAACAACATTTCTTTAACAAACTTTTATTTGATCTTATTAACAACCTCCACCAAAATACATGTTTTTTATAGAAATATTAAATTACAAAATAGTTTTATAAATTCCTTCGTACTTTGAAATTAATAATGTAATAATATTTACAATATCAATAGCAAAGTCAAAAAAAAATTTATGTTGATTGTTACCAGGAATGAAACTTCTTCCCCACCATTATTCCCCACCATGGGCTGTACGAACTGCATTTTTATGCTCCAGTTTCTCTATTGCATAAAATTAAAATAGTATGGAGGGGGTCGTTTTCATCGATTCTGCGGGGTAAAGGTCATGTATGATGCAGACTACTAGTTCGTCACTCCTGGTACATAGTACATTTTTTCTAAATTATTAAAGTAATACTGAGATAAAATATTGCTTTTTAGAAACAGTACGGTTTAATGATTTATCCTTCTTTTTTAATATATCTATCCAAAATTGCTTCACTGGGATAATCTGGAACTGATAATTGGCGATATGCTTCGTCATCTACAAAGCAAATCTCATGGTCATCCTAAAAATAATAATAATTATTATTAATACGTTTCTATTAATATTGTCTTGTATTGTATTTAAAATGTCCTTACTGGGTCAGCAAGAATAATGACTCTCACAGAAGTTTTTCCTGGAGTATCTAAAGTGATTAGATCGGTCAATATCTTATGCCCACTATTTTTTATTCTCTTTTGAATTTCTGGTTGCTCTGCATGAGGAATTGAGAATGCTATACGTCCATAAGCTGTAGCATGATCAATTTCAGAACCTAATCAAACAGAAAGATATGTTTTATATGTCATTGGAGCAATCTGCATTATCAAAGTATTACACAACATTGTGAAATCATTACCAATGTCTTTAAATTCAATCTTTGCTTGATCTTCACTGTATCCTAATAGTACACTCTTCTCAGATTGATCAAATACTTTTAAGTCTAAGATGTCCTTCCAATAGGCAATAGATTTTTGAAGATTTGAACTAGACAATGTTACTTTTTCTACAGGATCTGTTGGAGAAATATACTTTTAGTTAGGTGCTATTTTAGAATAAATATACATTGGAATAGATCTGCATTAATACCTTTATTTACAGGTTGAGGTTCGTCAATAACATAATACTTATAACCACCAGGTGCTTGTAAAACAAATTTTCCATTTTCTTCTTGCACTGGCCATCCATCTGCTTTTGCTCTTTGAAGTACTTCCCTAGACCGAATTGTAATACCATCAAAATCATTTCCCACTTTGTATTCTTTGATCCCATAATTATAAGTTAATTCTATCACAAAGTGAGTATCTTCTGTTCCATATCCTATCATGGTTTTACTCCATCTATTTGCATATGGCCTATATAACAAACATAAGATGTTTAATAATAACTATTTGCACATATAATATATGACAATAAAAGAAGAAACAGATTACAAACCCATTACAGGCTGCTTCACAACCTTCGGAAAATTCCTCGTGTCGTAACACCTGTCAAAAAAAAAAACTTCTATAAAAGGGTACCAATTTGAATTATGAAACTACTAACCTTCATTCCAAGAATTTCTCGATAAAATTTACAAGTCAATTTCCTGTCTGGTATTTTAAATACAAAATGAAGCGCTCGTCCGGTGACCATTTTTAACAAACCTGTTTTTACAGCCGTGTTTATGATACTAATGACTCACACTGATTTCTTTAATACGAAATCTCGTCTTACTAATTTCTTTTGCTGTTTTTTATCCTTCTCTGTAATGACTAATCATTAAATTATGACTAAACTAACAGTTATATGATACAAGTATTTATTCTATGCGATTGTTTTACTTACTCCTTGATGTATTAACGTCAACGTGTCCTATAAATGATATGTTATTATCAGTAAAAAAATATTTTTACGTGTTTGCCTATCTATTGAATGAATATGTTCGTAACAAAGGTGGCGCTAACAAAAATGTAATGGAATACAGATTCATTATCAACGTCAAATCAATGTATGGCAGTGTAGCCATAACAGTAGCAGACGATACGTTCGATAATGTCAAAATACACGTACGACAGCTATCTGTCAAATTAAAAACAATTGGTCGTCTTTTTTAAACTAAAATATCGTAGAATTACTCATTAGAAGAAATTTATAATTAGAATATGATAGAAAATCTTGCAGCAAAATTATGTTTACTTCTGCCGGAAAAAGCGCACTCAGGTAATTGTTACAATTCTTAAATTATGATACAGCTGTTTATAAAATTTCTTTTGTAAAATTTTTAAAAAATTGTGTATAAGATCTACATAAAAAGTTACAATGTAAATTTGTATATATTTGTATATACGTTGTAATATGGTGACAATAAAATATCTATAAAATAAAAATTTGTCTTTTAGCCGAACAATGGAAATTACTGGGTCAAGAGAAAGATGGATCTCTATTAGTTGGATGGACAGAAGAGGCTGTAAAAGACGATGTAAACGTATCATATACGGTTGTAGGCCACTACAACCGGATTAATGATAAGTTACAGGTATGTTAATCTATATAAGAATACAAGTCTTTTTATATAATGTAATGCACAATTAAAATGAGAAACAATATGATACAGGTATTACACCAATTCTCAGAAGTACTAAATATTGTACAAGCAACAATAAATCAAAATCGTACCGTTTTTGGATATGTAACAAAACAAAAAGTTCCTGTAGAAGCAAATGCAAATTCAGAGTCTACAGAAGATAAAGATCAGAATATATCAGTTGAAATTGAAATGTATGAAGCATCTATTGTTGAATTAAAAGGACAAGAAGTAAAAATACATACTTTGGATACAAAGAAATCTAAACAAGTGAGAATTCAATTTTTATATAAGGAAAAAGAACATGGACAATGGGATAAATTTTTATTATTAATCCATCAAGAATGTAAGAATCATATAATATATAAATTACATTTATATATTCTTAAAAATTGCTAAACTTCATTGTTTAATTATTACAGGTATTATAATACATACTATAATCTTTGATACATCTGTATCAGATGTTTATTCAATACAAGAGTTAAAATCTGAATCATTAGTTAAAGCATTTATTTGGGCTCAGTGGGACATGATAAATCAGGTTTTATATCATATACACCATAAAAAATTTCCACTAAGTTTAGTTTCTGAAGATGAGGAAGAGAAAGAGAATAAATCAGAAAGAACTAATCCAACACTTAGCGGTCTTCAATTTCATGATGAATTACCACATGAGACAGTGGTAAGTAACTAATTGTGTGTGCAGTCTAATAATAATTCCAACATATTTCAAACAATTTATTTCTTTCTTCTCAGCTAAATATACCATTGAATTTACCTCAATTATCAACTTCTTCCAACTGTGGAACTTATGAGGATGATGTTATACCTTTAAGGGTTCATGATTGTTCATTAGATCTTATTGTAGTTTCTGACTCTAAAGGAATGGTCTGTGTTTGTCATCATTACTTATATCGTCCAGTAAAACCACAGCAGCATATACTTAATTCATTGAGTGAATCTAATACAGTACACTTTGCATATTCTGTAACGCTTCTTCATCACAGCTGTGTGATCCATTGTGTTATACCGGGCATACCATGGTCTCATGCTAAACTTATACGACCAACGTTTGCAATATATGAACATCATCACATGATTGTTCTTGTACCAGGATTGTTTACTCATCTTCTGGAAATTGGAACGAATCATGAACCATGTTGCCACATATTATGTGGTCCTCTAACTTCTATTCCATCTCGTTCTTCTTATTTGGTACCATTGCTTGAATTAGAAACTAACGCCAAAGGAAGCAAAAAGAAGTATGACATAGCTTCTTTAGAAGGAAGCAATACATCTCAATATAATATGAACATACTAACAATAGACTTACCAACACTGGATTTAGTACAATTAACAATTTCATCTGATTTCCTTACCGAAGTATTTCGCAAAGAAAATTCGACAGAAGTACGCTTAGGCATACTTCATTATTTTCTTTGTCATAGAAACGATCTGGATATTATTTCAGAATTAGTATGTACGATTGCAGAGAAACCTAGATCATTAGAATTCGTACGGTATATGCAAGAAATTCTTATTGGTGGTTCATATGCTTTAGTACAAAAAAATTTATTAGCAGATGCTATACCTTTATTGGCTTTGCTGCCTGTTACGACCATGGAAGAATACATAAGTTTTGAGATCAGAGTGAATGATTTAAGTATAACATTGAGTCACGAGAAGCTTTGGAATACATCGGTAATGTTACTTTCACCACAACAAAGGTTGATTCCTTATCGCAGTGACTTGTGGACTCGATTGTGGGATCAACTTAGCAAAAATAATAGTGATAAAATAAGATTCAAGCCAAGCAAAATCGCAGAAAAGTTATTAGTTTCTTTAGCATGTTATCAACCTGAAGCATTATCCAGGTCCAGTACTCCAATGTCTCCAAGTGGAGGGTAACATTTTAGCAAATTTCTATTTCAACTGTTTAATTACATAAATGTTCGTGAATAATATAATTTGCATCTGCCTCTTTAAATAAATGTATAGTTTGATTTCAGCAAATTTTTTTGTAATTATAGTACAATTTTTTTGATTAAAATTAATTTTTATAAACGATATTTTAGGCTAGTTGTGGCTACAGTATCACTTGGAGACTTAACAAGTGGCCGTAGTAATAAACTCATGGATTCCAATTTGCCATTTAATGAAACAGAAAGTTGTACTGCGTCTAAGCAGGAGCATATTGTATCTGTAAATTTACGGGAATTGTCCGTATATCTATTAAAACATGGTACCCAGACATCAATAACGCATTTTAAGGGATTGTGTACTCCTTTGCACGTTCACGCAATGGCAACTAGACATGTGGCAGCGCAATTAGAGACATCGCGGGCTCTTTGTCAAATGTTATGTCGAGCGGCTAGTGTCGATCCACGAATTGAACAAGAACGTGGCTTTATTCTTGTGTAAGTAAATTACTCGTGAATAATTATGAATACATTATAACAACAAAATTTAATCTGAAATATAATTTCAGGGATCAATTAGACGAAGTAAGACGGTGGTTATTGTTCGTATTGTTGGAGCGCTATAGACGTGCAATAGAAAGCATAGCATTCCCAGCACCACAGGGGTTTACATCGTTTTTTACTTATCTTGGATATAGAACCTTAAAGTATTCAATGTTTTTACAATATGTACAACGATCAGTGTTCGAATTACAAGTCGATGTTAGCAAAATTATTATGGCTGGTATATTCTTTAAAACTAAAATTTATTATTATCTTAATCTTTAATGTCAAAATAATTTTCACTTAATATATTTACAGATATTAGTGATACAAAAGAAAATGCCATTCGTAAATTAACTTTATTGTCTTTGCTACCCAAATCACGCGCGAAAAGACTTTTAAATCAATGGTTACACCCTGTAAGTTTTATGATAAGAGCTCGTGAACATGCTGCAAATATTTTATCTGGTGAAGTGTGTCAAAACCGTGGTAGGACGTTACAATACAGAAATCATCATAATGGTAAGAGTAAATAATTAATCTAGAATACATAATATTAATAAAAAATAAAAAATCAAATATTTTCAACTATTTCTTATCATATAAACTGTATGCAGGTTTAGCGGCATTTCCTTCGGCTGATCGTTTATCTCCATTAGATACATTCCTTGATCTTCTTACAGCTAAAGGTACGAAAATATTACTATTACTGGACTGTACAAATTTTAAATTAAATTAATTTTATTTTACAGCTAGTCTAGCCGAGTTAGATTTTGGTTTGCTTATAGAAGCTACAGTAACATCTACAGAAGATTTTTTGTAGATAAATATATTTTAATTTCCTAGAATTATGAACACTCGAAAGAGTAATGCAAATAGTCATCCGAACGTGCGAAGTGCCATTAATATCTTCCAAAGTATTTAGTATTTATGAGTATATAGTTTCAGTCACATTTCATAAATTCCTATGTTTCTGTTTTTGGAAATTTTAGTCAGGGTAGGTATTAGATAAAGTATGATAATGTATGCCTTATATACTTAAATAATTTAATATGCTCATGTCTTAATTTATATTATTTTACAGTTGGATAGACCAGCAATTGATTTTTATGGCTGTTTTAAAAATAGTACATATTTAACAATTAATATTTATCCAACTAAAGTTACTTCATGATATTACAATTTCGCAAACATTGGAAGGACTGTATTTCGTCTTTTGTATATATGACTGGTTGAATTTTTGTTATGAAGCTATTAATTTTATACTGACGTTATTAATTAATTAATCAAAAGTTTATATGTGATTTTCTTCCGTACTTATATTAGTCTGTCAGTATATGTGTCACAATATGCTATACATATGTGTATTGCGTAATTAAGCAATTTTTTTTATAAGAAATTATATTTCTTTAAAAAAAAAATCGTCTATGTAAACTTTTTATGCCTATTGTAAAAAGTATTACCAAACTACATATTAAAAGATATGTACAAACATACAACATACAGTATTAATCATTTTTATGTAAAAGTGAATATAAAAAATTTTCAAAAATTATTCTGCGTTTTAATATTTATTTAAATCTTACGCTACATTAAGAAGAAAAGAAAAAGGAAATAAACTTTCTTATTTTGAAATTTATTTCCCGCTTACGTTTAAAAATTCTATCTTCCACTTTACCTTTCAAAACTTCAAGGAGCATTTTCAATGAAGATCAGCTTACCATGTTTAAGCCAATTTTAAAAAGGAACTGCCAATAGCATTTAACTAACGTTACCCGATACGTGGCGTTGCAATCTTAAATGAAAATCAAGCATGTTTCTCTATTAAAATATTACCCCTTCTCTCCCCGTCTGTAAGCACTACTAGCAGAATAACATCGTCAGCGGTCAGCCATTATCGTGAGATGTGAAGTCTTTTTTTCGTGATTCGTTCAAGACTAAAAAACTTGAAAAATTGTTATCGATTGAAATTAAAATATCGACGCTGAAATGCATACGATCCCAGAATTAGGTACAAGTGTACCAGCGTTCCTTGCCAAACTTTGGAAACTGGTCGAAGATCCCGAAACTGACGACCTTATTTGTTGGTCACCTGTAAGTACTTTTATTTTGTTATTCATTTATAATCACTTAATCTCTGTACGCGATGTACATACGAAATTCCAACGCACCGGTCGACATATCTTTTCACTGCGGCGATTATTTATTTGCAATGGTAATGTCGCATGAGTGAATAAATTAAACGTAGGCTAAACGTTGACCTCCGCAATGTACATTTTTACGTACACAACCTATATTTCACATGCATCCGACATCGCTGTAATTTATTCCGTACTCAGTCGATTATGCATGTGTGTACATTGCATTATTTCAGTAAATTTTTTTCTTTTTCTTTTTTTTTTTTTAATCGAGAGTGAAATATTAGAGACTATGAATGACAGCACTTCTCTGCATTAACAAAATATATTGGCCGCAAAATGATATTTAATAACGTTTACCAAACGATTTGTAACTTCTTCCTTTAAACTTGACGCACGTGCGTTACAATAATATTTGAACAAGAATGATTATTGCTTTGTATGATCAAGTCTTCATATATTTCGAATACTTTATTTATATTAATATTCTAATAAAAAACTGCATTATCTATGTGAAGACCTGATACTAAAAACGCATACCGATTTTTTACTACTTTAAAAGACAGCTTAAATACAGTACTCTACTTCAGTAAATAGTTTTTTAGAATGCTAATAACAATATTAACAATAAATTGTGTGTTAAATGTGTTGCATCTTATAATTTAATTGCAATATTTCCTTTATCCTCTTAAATTTTATTTAAATGATCCCATTAAATTTTGTTTAAATAATTATTTCCTCATTGCATGAATTTAATTTTATTAGTTGACTCATCTATTTTTTGTGATTATTTAATTCAGTTTATACATTTATTTCATTTTATTCAGTTTATTTTTATTTTATTCAGTTTATGTTTATACATTCATGCTGATGTATTATATGTATTATATAATTATCTTTATTTATATTGATAAAATGTTATCTAACTTATCAGTTCGAAAGAGGTTACATATATTCATTTGTTTTAGAATGGAAGGAGTTTTTTCATTAGAAATCAAGCACAATTTGCCAGAGAATTATTACCACATTATTATAAACATAATAATATGGCCAGTTTTGTCCGACAGCTGAATATGTGTAAGTAATAATATATAGAAGAATGTACAAAAGAATATTTATGTATATAAATATACTTATATCTAATGTGTATACATATGTTGTTTAGATGGCTTTCACAAGAAAGTTTCTGTTGAATTGGGTGGCCTAAAATGTGACAGGGATGAAATGGAATTTGCACACCAATTTTTTTGTAAAGGCCATCCGTATCTTGTAGAACATATTAAAAGAAAAGTGAGTACTTTCATTATACATAAATTTCCCATAAATTGAAAATGCTTGTTTTAGATTGCCTCTAGTAAAGGACAAGATCCAGCACTTACTCCTATTAAACCAGAATTAATGAACAAAATGCTTACTGAAGTAAGAAGTATGAGAGGTCGTCAAGAACATTTAGATTCAAGACTTGGAGCTATGAAAAGAGAAAATGAAGCACTGTGGAGAGAATTAGCAATGCTTAGGCAAAAACATCTCAAGCAACAGCAAATTGTCAATAAGCTTATACACTTTTTAGTGACTCTGGTACAACCTTCTAGAAGTGGTGGTCTCTCTGTTAAAAGGAGATATCCGCTAATGATCGACGACTCTAACCGTCAACGTAAACAGGCAAAATTGTCAAAGGTAATAGAATAGGGCTATATAGAATTATCTAACTGTATAGAATTCATTGAATTTTTAAAGTCTTAATATACATTTTCAGTCACAAACATCACCAGCAGGACCTGTGATACACGAACTCGATGCATCAGAACCGGATCTGGATTCGGAATATATTGTTGCAGAGTACGTGACTCTTGTTACATTATAAATTAATTTCCTTTTAATTATATAAACTAATTGTATTTTGCTGTGTCTAGAATGTTAGAAGGACATCCAAATCCAGCTATTGAAAGTCCAGAACATAATAATACATCAATAATAGAAGATAACAATATGGAATCAGTTCATTTAGTTGATGATTCTATTCAACTACAGGATGATATACAACTTATTAATCCACAAGAAATCGACATAAAGAAAAAACGTGGGTGTAAGGGTAAAAAAAAGTAAGTTAAATAAAACTATTATTATAGTATTCTAGTGATAGATTTATTTATTGATATAAATGACGTATACATGATCTATCACGTCATATACAATCTTTCAATTTTGGAATTATAAGATTTTGCATGATAAACACAAAGAACTATCTATCTACTACAAAAAAGTATTTTTATACTTCTATTTTGCTTGTCTTTTTTATTAAGACCAAGAAAATTATAAGAAAGACTAGAGATCATAATATATATGTCTTTACACATTCCAGTTATTTTCCATGCATGGAATGTATAAAATGATCAACTTAATGGAATTAAAATTTATACTCTATTTGCTTCAATAAAAGACACAGGGGCATAAATTTTTATCTTTGTTTCACACTGTAATAGCTTCATTCATTCCATAATTTGTACATACTAAAATTAAATGCACGTGCATATATCATAATCTGATTATATCTATCTACCTAGAACACAGATCAGGAAAATTTATATCTAAACAACTTCTTTCTCATACTTCATAAGATTAATTCATTTTTCAACTATATACTCATATCATTGCAATTTAAATATTGCCAGGAGGAAAAACAAGGTGCCGGTCAAAATTTTGATCCCATCGATGGAGAATGGAGAAGAACCAAGGTTAACATTTTTCTCTTGTTGTCATTTGGTGTTGGTGTTTATACTTTAGAAATAATAATTATACAGTATCGCAATTTTGCTTAGTTTCATTTTTTTGCACGAACATTTGGCAATATTGCGATGCTTCTTTGAAAATATTTATTTGACCGGTTAATATTAAAAAAAATCTTTCAGTCTGTAACTCTTTCAACTATCAGTAGTTGCTTTTTTTAATTTTATTTGAATTATAATTCCTATGTATTAAAGCATTCAAAGAAAGTTAAAGCTTCGAAGAAATTGTTTCAGTAGTATATTATTTTTATTGGAGAAGTCTTGTTAATCCTTGGTTGAAATATTTGTATTTAATTTCATTATTTATTCTATAATTCTTCGTTAGTCACATAATTTCATACTAATGTCATTTATGCCATTACTTTTGATTATTTATGTGATTATTCTATGCCTCTGAGTATAATTGTTGCTATATTAATTATAGTTTATTTAATAGTTTCGATCTACTTTGTGATATGAAATACATTACAAAGTTCTTCTATTTTTCATCCAGATTTAGATATATATATGTGCATGAAAGATTACTTTATATTTAAAATATAACGTATTATGTTTTATAATAGAAAGACATTAAGATTTATTCCATGCATGATTGTGTTTTAAAACGTATTTATATAATAGTTTATTTATATATTATTTATATAATAGTTTATTTACTTGTATTTAATAATAATAATATAATGTATAATAAGTACAATTTTATGTGATCTTCAGATCATACAATTTTTAATATAAGAAACATTTAGGAAAAATCAAACTGAATTGACCATTAAATATTTACGTTTAATTTAAATAACAAAAATGATTTGTAAAGTGAAATATAGAAGAATGAGTATACTTGTAATTTTTCAAATTTATATCACAGAAATTAAGAAATATTCACTTTTATTAAAAAATAACAATTGATCTTTAACTTTCTTGTTCATATATATTTCACGTATATGCACTATTTTACATTAATACATTTCTCTTTTTTTCATAAAAGTTTATATTATTATATACTACAATCTGACTAATTCATTGTATACTTAAAAGCATGTTCTTATACATTGCTTTAAATTCATCTATGCTCTTGCAATACTTCCATCAATCCAAATTGTAGTCGAAAGTATATTTAAAAGCAGATTATGGCACAACAACAATTCTAAACAGAAAAGGAAGATTGGCAACTGCTTACCTTACTTTTCTAGGGAAGAAACACATTTACTTGAAATGCCATTAGAGGATTCACCAGTGATTGCTTTGCTGGAAAGTAAACCAGTCTCTAAGCCAGTACCTGTGGCAACTGTGCGCAGTTCAAAGCTTGCGGCAATGGCAGCTAATATGAACAAAACCACTGATGTAGAGCATGAACTTGATTTGGAAACTCCAACAGATATGGACGAAGATATTCAAGAGAACGATCCAACTCTAGTGAAGCTCGAAGACATTTTAATAGTACCAGAAATTATCAATGAAGATGTCGAGGGCACCGAGAACGTTGAGTTCAATGAAAACAGTGGCAACTCTGAAACCAATGAAAATGATGTTATGTTGAGTCAACTTAACAAAACAGATGATAATACTGAACGGGATAACAAGAAAAACAATTCTACAAATGGTGCTGAGAAACATTTGGAGCAGGATAAAGTCAACTGCAATGGAGCAGGCACAAGCAACTCGAAACATTTATCACTGAGTTGCGTCATTCCTTCGGGCGTATCTGATGCTAATTACAGGTTAGGATCAATGTAAGTTCAACACAGATGAAACCCAGACTAAAAAATGCTGAATACAGTACATTCCACTAATCTGTAGCGGAAATCCTTAATCAAAAGACAGAGGTGCGAGCCAACCAATTTATCTCTATTCATATTATAATTTGGAAGGTTAGAAGTAATAATACTTCACTATTAATATGTGACTTTTTATTAGATCTCTAAATGGTTGCCTTTGATCTAGGGATTTCACATTCCATAAAGCCTGAAGAGTAAAGGATTTCTTGGTATTATTTTTTTTTTCATATTTTCCAAGTTATCGTAATTACTTTGTTATTAATTTTATCACGTTTATTCATCTTGAAAAAAATTGCAAAGATCTAGTATTCAGTTTTTCTTGAATTTAACAGAATCTTATTTTAAATAAACGAAATCTTGTTAATATAGATTCAAATGCAAAACAAGGTTTTCATCAATTGAATCTATGTTAATGTAATTTATTTTGTTCAAAATAATTATTCTTGTTGACAAAATTGTTAATTAAAATTTCGAGATGTGTTATATCTTCGAAAAATTATTCTTGTTTCTTATATACATACATACATGTTTGTTATATTTGGTAATTGTGGTGTTACGATTGTTAGATCTTTACTAATGTTATTTACTATATAATTTGATTGTTCTATTAGTTCTTCATCTTACTTTCTAGTTTTCAAAGGTCAATTTGGTTTGAATATATGTCGATATAGACTGCATTGTTTCAAACTTTGGTGCAAAATATTTTAGAAGTCGTGCACTACAAAATTGCCAATGTTTTCTACAGAATACCAACCAATCTCTTTTTTGTGAATTTCTTGATTACTTGATTTCACAAGCAACAATCATAAAACAATTATTATCTTATTTTATTTCTACATTCATAATTTTAAAAAAAAAAGGAACAGAAGTTTGGTACAACAAAGAAAACAAATTGGTCTGCTTGTGAAGTCATTGATACAAATAGAAAGATTGTACATTTCAGGACGAATATTGAAAGGATTTCCAACATTTTCCTTTTTGATCCATAAAGTGTGGATAAATTTCCATGCTTTTATACATTTTGATCTACTTTAAATGATTCTCTATAGGGAAGAAGTGGATAATCATCTCGAAACAATGCAAACAGAATTGGATAATCTCCGTGAAATTCTACGAGGCGAAGGTTACAGTATTGACGCAAATACACTTCTTGGTGTAAGTATTGACGCAAACACACTTCTTGGCGTAAGTATCTAAATAATATATGCAAACTTTATTCTTTATTAATTAATAATGTTTACAGTTATTTGGAGCAGATGATCCAATGTCCTTCGGTATGCCAGTTAATCCCGAGTTGAATCCACATTCTGAGAAAGAAGAAGATGATCACGTTAATGGTAAAACTTCCACTCGTTAATGTTTTAAATGTTGTTGAACACAACTAAATGCTGTATGTTTTAATTTACTTATAGTTACAGAAAACATTAATGGAACGGGTGGTGGTGAACTTATGGCATATAATCCTACTCCAAACTTCTTAGATTTCGACGATGACATTTTTTTGGAAGCCACATCTCCTGTAACTAGCACAGCAGATGATACAGCTACAGTCAATTTTTATAATTCGGATCCTCTCGATTTGGAAGATAACAAAGTTTCACTTCTCAATTCCTTAACAAACGATGTAAATACTTCGTCATAAAGTCTTATTCCTATGGTAAGTTTCACAATAATCTTTTCTTAGATTTAACAAACGATCATTTCGTTAAAAGGAAAAAAATTAAAAAAAAAAAAAAAACCATTTTTATTATCGTGTAACAAAAAATAATTACTGATACATTAATAATAAACACAATTTTTTATATATTGATTTTAAATTATATTTTAAAGAATTTCTGTTTATGTTTATCGAGTAGTTGGTCACGTAACGCATCTTTGTTAAAAATTACGAAATTATTTCTTCGAAATTATTCTTCTACGAGGTTCAACCTCTTTCCAAAAAGAAATTGTCTTAGGATAGATTTTTTTGCAGGTTCAGATCACTGTTGCGTCCAATGCTTTGGTTTCAGTATGTTTTATTCTCGATGGACACCATGAGCATGCTCTCTCTCTATTTCTATCTCTGTCGCTCTCAGTGTATTTTGATGACCAAATAAGCTCTAAGTGTATTTTGATGACCAACGAGCTTGTAATGTACTGACGAAAGTACTTATACCTCAGGAGAATGCGGTCTCGTACATGTATGCGGTCAATCGAATGATCCCATCAGTTTATGGAGAGCAATAAATGACTAATAGCAGAAGCACATAAAATC